AGCTGACTGTGAACACCGAATAGAAATTAGTTATGGGATAAAGAAGTAATTCAATTTTGAATTTGACCTATATTTTGGACCACGTTATTCTGTTGATCATTTTATATTGATATAGGAAGGTAATATATTATTGCATAATCTCCATTCATAATAGGTATGCTTCCTGCTCACATTTGAATAAAGATTATATTCTTACTTGATAAGTTCTTTGGCAATAATGAAAAAACTTCACGAACGATAAGATTTTCACAAAATTCTTAATCACACGACATGTTTCGCTAACACAGTAGCTTCATCAGGTGAACTACTGGTACAATGAAATGAACTAACCTATACTATCATCAAAATAATAATCAAAATTGAAGAACTTTAACCTATTTCGGATCATCAACTGAAAAATTAGCTTCATATCTACATTAAAAGGACTTAAAAGTAGCATATAAAATAAATAACACATTGGGAAGGTTTATCGAAAATAATAAAGACAAAACTTCTGAATTCTAAAAATCAGGGGTATACAAACTCAACTGTGGATCTTGTCCTAAGGTATACAGTGTGACCCACTTCTAATGGAAACACCCCTGTATCTTACGTAATCGTTGGGTAAGGATCCTGAAATTTGCTAGGGCGGGAGATATACCAAAAATGCACACTATGACCAAGTGATGTCATCTTCAGTGATATACACTACTCGCCAACAGCCATGGAACCACCCCAATTTCCGGAAAATGATATTAGGAGTCAAAATAGGTCGAAAATTACTCCAGATTCGGAATCAGGACACCCAATTCATTAACTATTCATATTTTTCCCGGAAAATTTTTAGTTCTGTAAAATCAAATTTTGTCGCACTTTTTACGGAAGCAACCCCGTATCTTACGTAATGGACTTCATCTTTGGACTTCCCCTTCCTCCTGCAAATTTCAGAACCCTACCTCAATGATTACGTGAGATACGGGGGTGCTTCCATGGGAAGTGAGACAAAATTAAATTTTTCTGAACTGAAAATTTTCTAGGAAAACTATGAATAGTTAGTGAATTGGGTGTCCTGATTCCGAATCCGAAGTGATTTTCAACCTATTTCGACTCCTAATATCATTTTCCGGAAATTGGGGTGGTTTCATGGCTGTTGCCCAGCAGTGTATATCACTGAAGATGACCCCACTTGGTCATATAGTTCAAGTTTGGAATATCTCTCACGATACATTGAAACCTATCATATTGCACTCAAAAATAACAGATCATTATCCTATTGTCCTCGAATATGAAATTCCACATAACAAACCTGAAGACATTGAAACAAAACAATACATTAATTACAAAAAACTTAAAGAATTATGCCACGAGCATGCATTTGACTCAATATTTGCGAATAATGACGTACAACAAATTACAGATACTATAACCAATATAATATGCAGTAGTATAAAGAAGAGTACAACAACTAAAATCGTTAGAGACAAATACAAAAAGAAACCATGGATAACAAAAGGTCTCATAAGATCTATGGAAGAAAGAGATAAATTATATAAAAAGTACAAAAAAAACAGAGATACAGAAACATTCAATGAATATAGAAATTACAGAAATAGAATAGTGAAAATGATAACTGAACTCAAACAGAAACATTATAAAAATATAATCACGAAAAACTCCAAAAATAGTAAAAAAATATGGCAGACAGTTAATGAATACACCAATAAAAACTTGAATAAAAGCAGACATTATATAACGGAACTGATAAATGAAAAAAATGAGCACGAAAGTGAAGAAAAAAATATCGTTGAAATATTCAATGAACATTATTCAACAATAGGAGAAAAAATGGCACAAAACATCAAAAATATAAATAAAACACGAACAAATTCCACAAGAAAAGAATATCATTGTACGAATGTTAATTCAATATTTTTGAAACCAGTAAGTGAAATTGAAATTAAAAACATGATACTCTCTTTGAAAAATGATTCATCTCCAGGTTACGATAACATTACAACAAAAATATTGAAAGAAATCAACGGAACTATTGCAAAACCTTTGTGTCATTTGATTAATACTATGTTCATTACAGGTAAATGCCCAAGTCAATTCAAAATCGCAGTAATAAAACCGATATTCAAACAAGGGGATCCAAGAAAACCAGAAAATTATCGTCCGATTAGTATTATATCAAACCTAGCAAAAATTTTTGAAAAGGCTTTGAAACAACGCTTAGTAGAATACATGGAACACCACCATTTGTTATCAAACTCACAATTTGGTTTCAGGCTGGGTAAATCCACTAATGATGCGATTGCCTCTCTAACATCTAGAATTTATACAAGTTTAGATAATAGTAAGCCATGCGCCGGAGTATTCATCGACTTGGCTAAAGCCTTTGATACCGTGAGCCATGGTAAACTATTATCGAAACTTGAAGACATGGGTATACGTGGCCTAGCTTTATCGCTTCTTCGAAGCTACTTATCAGAAAGACGCCAAATGGTTAAAATAAATAATTCAGTGAGTGAACAAAGAGTCATTACCTTCGGTATACCTCAAGGAACAGTATTAGGTCCGATTTTGTTTATAGCATACTTAAATGAACTCCTTTCTTTAAGATGTCATGGGACAATAATTTCTTTTGCTGATGATACCGTCCTCTTCTTAGAGGCCGACTCGTGGTTAGAAGTGGAACATCAATTGAAAAGTGACTTATCATCCATAATCCAATGGTTTGATGATAACCTACTCACGATAAATATTAACAAAACCATATACTTACCCTTTTCCAACTATAAAAATACTTTACCAACCAATAAAAAATTAAGCTTCCACCTACCATTCAGAAATAACACTTATACAATTCTGGCTGGAACCCACACAAAGTACCTTGGAATAACTATTGACAGTCATTTGAAATGGGATATCCATGTGCAGAATTTAACAAAAAAAATCAGATCTTTGATGTACCTATTTAGACAAATGACATTTATTTTAGACCTAAAAATGCTCAGAGTCATGTATTTCAGCTTAGTGCAGTCACTTCTGAATTACGGCATAATTGGATGGGGTGGTGCGTACTTGAATAATATAAAACCATTAGAAATTGCTCAAAAAAGGATTATCAAAATAATATACAAACTTAATGCACAGTTCCCATCACAATTGCTTTTTGAAAGAACAGAAATATTAGATATAAGGCAATTATTCTACAAAGCTGCGCTGCTATATCTAGTCAAAAATAATGAAGTAGGACGAAATTTACGAAATTTAGAAAATAATCCGTACCATACACGTTTCAGAAGTACTGCAAACATCGTTCTACCAAGAGTTCAGAAGTCCATTGGACAAAGATGTTTTCGGTATATTGGTCAGAGCCTTTATAATCATTTACCTCTTGATTTAAAAAATAGGGTTGAATCCAAAAATATAAAAAATATATTAGATCGTTGGTTATTAACTACACCAGTGACACTACTATAATGATGATATTGTTCAAACCTCTGGACCGTCATTATTATTATTATTAGTATTCTTCTTATCATCATTTTTATTATCGTTCCTGTTATTGTTCTTATTATTATTCTCATTATTATTCTTATTTTTGTTCTTATTATTTCATTATGATACTGTAGATAAATTATATCTCTCCATTCAATCAAAAATAATATTATCCACCTAGTATGTTTCAACAATGATTATATATTATCGAATACTTATCATAATAATTTAATTCTAATGCTTTCATTTTGTTTATCATCGTACCACTAACTGCAAGTAGGTATACATATTTTAGTTTACTAGTTTATGGTGTAATCGATAGGTCATTTATAGCTACTAAATATAATAAATATGATAAGTATGTTATGTTCAGATATACAGTCTAGCCTCGGCTAAAGCAGATCTGAACATATATTCAAATCACGAAGATCCTTATCAAATACTCATTGGTCTATATTTATTCCCGTTCAACAATACACTATAATGTATCTACCTTTATATTTGAATCTTCTGAGAATAAATATTATTATTATTATTATTATTATTATTATTATTATACCCAACGATTACGTAAGATACAGGGGTGATTCCATTAGAAGTGGGTCACACTGTATATCGGTCAGACAGGCCGTACCTTAAATCAGCGCATTCATGAACATAAGATGATTTTTTTGAAAAAGATATCAAATTATCATTAGAAATCAACAAACTCAAAGATTCTAACATTTTATTCAACGATCAACTAGACCTCAATATTTCACCACTGTTGAATTTGTTTCCTTAGTAATCCGTATTTTGATGTAGATATTTGCCTATTTTCCGAAAATGAAGGTTTAACGAACCTTTCCACAGCTAATCGTTTAGGTTGGGAAAGTAGGATATATAAACGTTAGGCAGTATTTCATCTGATGAAGCTACTGTATTAGCGTAATATGTCGTGTGATTGAGAATTTTGTGGAAATCTTATCGTTTGTGAAGTTTCTACATTTACTATGGATTTCCATCAAGTAATGGCCGAGTCAATTCAAAATTTGACAATAATATTTCAAAGTTCAACAGGAGAGATTGTTGTTTCTAATCTTGAAGTTTCTAGGTTAGGAGCAAACTCAGTTCACATAGATCTACGGTGAAGAAAACTCATAACAAGGACAAACTGCACATTTTTTTCAATGAGCAGTCAATATTATTCCTACTTGCCTACTACCTTTTTCAAAATTGAAATGATATCACTATAATTATGTCATGGACGTGTGAATAATAATCAACTTTTTCCATGATAACAACAGCACATTCCAGTCAGTGCTATTACCTATTTATAGTGGACGATAATTTGACAGGAAATGATGTATGATACTGTTTGAAGGTGAATAATTATATCTCCTTGACAGCAGGAGGAAGAATCATTCAATCTTCATTTCATCCAATAAAAATTGGACAATGAATAAATAACGGCGTTATGGATTTAATGCTTCTTTGTCATAAAATCAACATGAAATCATTGTATTTATTATTTTCAGGTTCAACTAAGAACGTTGACAGTACCATAACCAATATTTTAGAAGGTCGAATTCATTTCACACCAGAGCAATCTACATCAACCCACACAGGGACTAGTACGTCTGGTTCATCAACAATACCAGCTACCCCTTCAAGCAGTGTTGTATCTGCCAGCCCAAATCTGTTTTCAAACACAGCAGCAGCCTCATTCCCTAAATCAGCCTCGGAGAGGAGTAAATCTTTCCAAGAAAGAAAGGAACGACTCATTGCAAGCTCTCGAAAACGATATATCGAGAAACATAACCTAGATATTTCATTTTGAACATTTTTACGGAAAACGGAAAACCATAGCGTTTGGATGGGATATAAGGTGTGAGGTTGTTTGTTGATATTTTCTTAGATTTTCATTCTCCAAATCCACTTTGAATCGGTGTTCAAGACAATGAAATATCAATTGGTGGTAAAAGATTCCTTGTTTTTTAAATATTGGAGAGATACTATCACAACTGATCCTTAATTTTTTCAGGAGTTTATTACTATTACTACTCACTATACAGTAATTTATCAAACACGCACAGAACCATAAGGAACGATACATATAAGTTTAAGTAAGATATAAAAATAAAAATTATGATTATTGAATCAATTGATTAATTTGAGACAGAAGTAATAGATAAATAAAAATGTTTTTTTCCTGATTTTCGTAGTGGCATCTCTAGATACAGATATCGAATATTAATCAGAGAAGCAAATAAACTCCTTGAAGATACTAATATCCAATTATTGGTTTCAATTTTGTAGCAATAAAATGATTAGATTTTCTCAATATAATGATGTTTTATAACAATAATATTGAGTACCTACTGAAAATCATTCTAATGATTTGGTGGAACGCCCAGTCAGATTTTCATTTTCTAATTAATAATATTCATTGTGTTCAATTTAAAAGTTACCAGCCCAATTTGCACAGGACAAAGGCGAAATAATGTTTTGAAATAAAATACAGTAACAGGTAGATTCAATTTTTGGAGAGTTAAAATTTTGAAAGTATCGTCGATGGCCAAGATTAGCTTATAAAAGCAGGAGTTTTAACCCATAAATGGCACTCCCCAATCTTTCCTGTGGTCCTAGACCAGTGCGACAGTGGAATATTTTTTGAAATAACGGAAGTTTTTAGTGTATTGCTTGAGCTTTCCTTAGGCATTATCATTTTATTTACCCATGGAACAAGAAAGGCCACAGAAATCGAAACATATTTTTCAGATGCTAAGAATTATATGATATAATTTTTATAATGAAAACGGTTATCCAGTACTCTGAACGTTTTAACGATAATCAAGTTTCAGCGTGAAATTTTTATGCATCATAGTACGGATTTGATGTGTTACATATATGTTGATTTTTTGACAAGTCAAATATTTCCTTTGAAGATATTTTCATTATTTTACTTATATTGAAGACTGGAACCTTTGGCACGATAATACACTACACTGTTTCACCACTAACCAAACCGATTTTTTAACGCCTCGACACGTGTTTCGCTAACTATGTTAGCATCTTCAGGAGAAGATTAAAACTGTTTTAATCTTCTCCTGAAGATGCTAACATAGTTAGCGAAAGACGTGTCGAGGCGTTAAAAAATCGGTTTGGTTAGTGGTGAAACAGTGTAGTGTATTATCGTGCCAAAGGTTCCAGTCTTCGATATAGTGTAGTGTATTATTTTACTTGATTATTTGGGATCTCCTCCTCGTTTCTATAAAATAAAAATATGAGTATTATTTCAATATATGTGTAGTAGGAGAAATCAGATGATTTGCCCCAAAATGTCACTGAGTATAACAAATTTTTCTATCAGGGAGCCTAAAAGAAAAATCCAATAGCTTGTCAGTGATACTAACATTGGACGTTTTGGGAACGAATCAGCTCCCGTTCTCAACATAAAAATGCAAAATATTTTTCTCGTCAAACATTTTTTTCTTATAGTTTGACACCTCTCAGTGACATACTGATGTTGGCATATGGATGAGTGATGATGTTAGTATACAAATGAGTTACATGATGTTTCATTAATTGATCTTCAATCTACCATTTTCATGTTCAGTTTTCAGTAGTGAATACCATGTTATTTGATCTATATCAACTGAAGAGGATGCAATGCTATTGTCCCCATTCAGAAGAAAGCAAGCGAATTCTTTGATTTTTCTCTTTTGGTTGTTATTTTCCTTTCCCATGATTTTAATATTATTCCACTCTGCCATATGTTGTCCATTTTCAGTAAGGATATGTTCAGTTAGCTTTAATTTATCCATATGTCTTCTTTTGATATTGTACTTGTGTTCATTCATCCTTACTGAGAGAGGTCTCTTCAGCTTTAATTTATCGATATGTATTTTTTTGATATTGTACTTGTGTTCATTCATCCTTACTGAGAGAGGTCTCTTCGTTTCACCTGTATAATAATTTCCACAAACACAAGGTATACTATTATTACAATTTTTTCATGATTGTTCTCTATTTTTCGGTTTTGTCTGAGTATGTATGTATTTATGTATGTCTGTCACAGAGAAAAAAAATGCATTTTTATGTTGAGAACGGGAGCAGATTCGTTCCCGAAACGTCCAAAGATAAGTAAATATTGGATATTTTTTCAATATATCTATATTTTCTTCTCTTCAGACATTTTTCCAAACAAAGTGTCACTGACAAGCTATTGAATTGTTCTTTTAGGTTCCCTGATAGAAAAATTTGTTAAACTCCGTGTCATTTTGGGGCAAATCATCTGATTTGTCCTACTACACATATATTCAAATAATACTCATATTTTTATTTTATAGAAACGAGGAGAGAAAATCCCAAATAATCAAGTAAAATGAATGTACCACTTTCTAGATTAACCTACAGACAGTATATTTTCATCAATTAAATTATAATTGATTCTAGATAATGATAAATAGATAACTATTTTTGTCTTAATCCAAAAAGGAAATGTGTCTGGGCGGAATTTTCTTCATTTTGACAGCATATATTTCAATATTATCTGTTGAATACTTGCAAAGTAAGGAACTGTTTCTCACTGAACCTATCCCAAAAAGTGCATCATAACTTTTGATTACAGGGCGAAAGTTTGATTAAAATAAGTTCATCATCCCATATCAAAGAAAATATAAAGAAAAAAGAAATCCTCTTCAAATTCGGTACACTGTCTTTTTATGTAAACCCGCTTGGATAGTGCAAGTCAAATAATAGGAAATTCAAAGGCGTCATATAGAGATTCGATATCTCTTTTCTAAAAATAACTAGCACGCAACTGGATGTATTTTTGACATCTATTGTAGAAGCGAGTTCACATGAAAAGAAAGTGTGCTAAATTTGTAATGGAGTAGTTTTGTATATTCTTAGATACTTTCAAATTGATGTATAAGTTGGAAAATTTAAAATCTTTAGGGTCACGAAACTTGTTATAAAAAAGAGAAACTAGAAGACAAAAGTCAGAAATGAATTTGTGGTCTGTCACGCTTTCGGGACCACTATGTAAAACTTCTGATGAAGAAAAAGCCCATACTATGCAATTCAACCTCCACATATTTCGTTTCTGTTTTTCTTTGGTGAAAAATAACGTGAAGATAGAGGTGTGCCTGTTTGATGTACTGTACTCTAGTGGAAATCTTATCGTTTGTGAAGTTGTACTTGCATAAAAAATGTATTACAAACTATAACAACTAATTGAAGTCATCATTGACTTGAATGTTTTTAATTTTGCCATCATTTCATCAAGTTTCACAGTACCTTTCGAAAGGATTTTGATTTTGGTGTTTATTTGCAAAATCATTTCATCTGATGATTTGATATGAAAATCTGAGAAAATATCAACAAATGTAGAAATGGTGCCAAATTATCAGAACTTTGCCTTATTGCTGTATATTTGAGAGCTCATAAATTAAGTATAAATCTAATTTAAGTTTGTATATATACTAAAACATTTATTTCTCAGAAATACATTATGTTATCCTCAGGTGTATTTTTTTTTTCAAGAACCAATATGCAGTGATGATCGCTGAAGTAGGTTTCAGATCCAATTATGGATTATCAATACATGAACATCAACATATTGTCATGTTCTGACACATATTTAATATGGATGTGGACCACAGAACTCATAATCATGGACATTGAAATATGGGACAAATCTCACTCACGTAGCTGTATGGTGATACAGGAGCCTAGAGAAACTACTGAGACGTAGGTTATGCATTTTCATCGGTTTGTTTACAATATCAACGAAATGTTGCCAGTTTAATTAGCTGCTACTTGTGACTGATTGTCATTGAAAAGTCAAAAAATATCAGATATTTGGTAATATCAATATTAAACTTGGTGATTGTGATTTATATGAAGATTCTTTACTTCAGAGGATTTTGTTTTCAAATTCTTATGAAGTGATATGTTCAACACTGGCTAACTCCTTGTTGAACATGAGGGCGAAGTAACAAGTTCCATGAAAGAACCTATCTGAAATACTTCTGGTGCCTATCTGTACCTATCACATAAGATTGTTCATTATTGTTTATTAAGGAAATAGCCTCCAGTCAGAAATAAAATTCTGGTATGAGGAAGTTGATTACAAACAACAATAATGACTTAACATAAGGTGACAACAACAACAAAAATCTAAAAATGCTAAATCGATCAAGTCATGAAAATAGCAACAGCGAGGGACTGATAAGTAGATGGCAAAGTATCAATTTATCGATTTCGTAGAAAAATCATGTGTTTTTTTAATTCAACTCCAAATTTTGAAATATGTCTGCAATTTTTTATAATATATACGTGTTAATTTATTGAATTCAGCTAGAGCAGCGTGAGTAATTTTTTTTGTCAATTATAGAAGTAGCAGAATCAAGATGAAATGAGTTTGATGTCTTCTGTGATGATCATGAATTTCTGAGTTTCTTATCGAAACAAAATTGGATTTCAGATTATTGTTTATGATATTATATGAAACTTTTTTATACAATGGGGGAGACCACTGATTTTTTAAAATGACATTATCGTGAACTCTTTACTGAAAAACTACCAGCGAATTAATTTAGAATTTTGTGATTCATGCTAAGACGATGGAAAAAATAAATTAGAATATGCTCATTTCAAAACACACAATTCCTGCGCCATTTGAAATTTTGTCAATTCATTGGTGTGACTGGTGCGACGTCTTATTCCCAACACGCCTATTGTCCTTGAACTAACCAATCACACTGTAACACTGCAGAATGACGAGGTATCAGAGAGAGATAGCTACAGTTTAGGACTAATACACCACGACTCCACCATCATATTTGGCTGTTTGAAATATCGAATGAAATAT